AAGAGAAAGAGAAGTGGATTGACACCAGCTTTGGCCAACATCACTCATCTCCGGCTTTGCCTGGTTGCATGGACAGCCTGTAAAGGTCCAGCCATTCTCTTTTCCATTTCGGCATCAAACTGCAAAGTACATGTGGAAATGAGACAGCGATCGTGGAGGGCAGCATTTCAACGTGTCCGTGTTCCAGTCTGCATTTTGGCTTCAGCGACAATTTCTCTATAAAAATAGAGGCATTTGGGGGAAGAGACATGGAGCCCAGAGGGAGAGACTGTGTCTCAGCTGGATCTCCGCCTGTTACTATCGCACAGGCAGGAGGCCCAGGGAGTCCCAACAAATGTCTTGCAAACAAACAGCCCTGGACGTGGCAATCAAGGCCGCCACGGCGCCCATGTAAATGGGAGGAGTCCAGGAAAGCAAGAGGCTGTCTGTGCATCCTTCTTCTGGAACAACCAACAAAGAGCGTAGGACCACAGGGGGCCACATTCCCTGCGCTCTTAATGAGAAAGAATAAAGGACATTCTGGGGAACACTTGTCACGCAGAGGAGGGCTACTCCTCCGTGCTGAGGATTAAGCACGTCTATGCTCAGAAGTGAGCCAAGGAAGAAAGCCAGGCAGCAGAGTGTGCAGGTGTCCATCCGCTCTTGGTGTTATGGACTCACTCAGTGACCGAGGCCTTAGTGATGTCACCGTGGGTTGTATCAAGGTCCTGTTCCTAAGAGAATCGCCCCTTTTCCACTCTGGACCCGTTTTGCTTATTTATAAACTCAGTGCCCCCTTGGCATGGATTGCTCGTTGGGTGATGAACGAACCTGGCTGCCTGGAACAGGAATGCCCCCCCCCCACCGCTTCCCCAGCCCTCTGGGCTTGGCTTTCTAGGAATGAACTTGGGGTGTATCTCCCCCTGGGGAAGTGGGAGGATGCTGACCCTCCGAACTCCTGTTGCGAAGCATCCTGACTGTCTCTGTTCAGCTCATCTGGGAATGGGGAAATCCTGGGCCAGAGGGAGAACTTACTATTTTGCTGAACAGTGACAGTCAGAAGGCCCTGGACAGGCGTCATCTACACAGGAAGCATAAAGACCTCTTTCCTGAGTGCTCTCGGGGAGGGCCGCAGCCAGAGGCGAAACCCCAGGAGCCCCCCGCTTGGCAGCCTGGCGACACGCTCCCAAGTCTGAGGCTGACACGGTCCCTGAGGCTGACGGCTGTCTTCTCTCACCCCAGGAAGTTTACGAAAATGCAGGGGAGTGAGGGTGACTATCTTACAAATACCTCTGAGTATATTTTATATTTAGGTAAATATAAAAGAGTTTATGTTTTAAGTAAATTATATGAAAAATAAAGTATTTTATTAAGAAAAATCCATTCCTGATAATACACTTCTGAAGGGTAGTGAGAGCCTAGGCCTGAGAGACACCAAAGAATTTCTTCTATCACAGATGGGGTCCCGGGAAGCAGAAGGCAGTAACTTGGCTTGTGCCCCTCGGCGCCCGCAGCCCAGGGCTGAGCAGGCCACCGGGATGTCATTGTCTGAGTATCTGTTGCCCAAGAGCTTGTAGGTAGAAGAATGTGGAAGGGCCTGGCCTGAGAACATCCCCTCTACTTGCTGCTCGATGGGTGTCCTGCTGACCAGCAGGACTGGCCATACTGGCTTCACCTCGAGGCTGGTTCAAATCGCAAGGTCCCAGGTCTCACTCCTTTGTTGCTAAACCAGAATCTGCATTTGAACAGTTCCCCGCCACTGATTTGTGTTCACTTTGAAGTTGGGGAAGCACTGCCTCCATGAACCGACAAATTAGACATTAGTCTCCACTCAAACGTCTCTCCCGACTCCTGCAAAATCCCCGTGTCAGTCAGCCTTCCCTCTGGCATCCGATATAATAACACATCGTAAAGCTAATCGGCCTGAGAGGGAATCTGCAGACCTTGCAAGAGATACAGGATCTCACAGAATTAACAGACGTGGTCTCGGAGAACCGCTCCAATCACAACCAAAGTAATCGGCCAGCGGGGAAATGGCAGACTTAGGCCCTCAACCATCGCAGAGGGGCTCCTCTGCGGGGATGGTGACAGTCCTTCAAAAGAGGGTGATTTGAATATCAAAGAATTCAGACAGGCCCTTGGGAAAAAGCGATAAGGCTCATGAATATCTTTGCCAAAATGACCCACTTTAGACTGTGCTGTGAAAGTCAAACATACAGTTTTGTTGAAAAACTCTGCTCCAAAAAAAAAAAAAATCAACACTTCAGTCTTCAATCCTTCTAATGAGGAGTGCATTGTTTTCATTATAACTTAAATGATATCATGTGAGACAAATAACACTTTCATAAGTTTTAGTTCCGTTTTTCAGGACAAAGTCTAATCAGAGCTTGCTTTGTTACTATTTCTCACGATGCGCGGTCCCTGTTAGAAGCGCGCACCTGCTGGGTGGACGTTCCCAGGGCCGGTGTTGCTCCAGCAACAAGACCTGCTGGACTCAAATGCTCCGTTTTCCTTTCTCCCTTATGAGACTTCTTTTTGGTACCTGTGACCAGTGTGGGATAATCAGTACCAACTTACTCCACAGCTC